TACACCAAAATAAAAACAAGAAAAATTTGACAAAGTTTCTTAGATAATTATTAATTCTATTCCTATGGTTGAATGAGTCTAAATTATATACACGAAAACAATATTGGCAAAGATTATCAAGTATATTACATATATATATATATATATATATATATATATATTTATATATATATATATATATATATATATATATATATATATATATATATATATATATATATATATATAACGGTTGACTTTTTGTCCTCATTTGTTAGTAGGTAGATAAGTTTAAATATTTTTTTTGTTTTCTTATACTGTTATTACCTATAGAAGCATCTTTGCTTTCTGGTATAGAAAGTATTAAAAAAAAATGGACAAGGACAGAATAATAGTAGACAAATGATTTCATATGATCAGTAGAAAGGCATTAAAGAAAAGTGTTATTGATGAGGAGAATCCATTGTACCATTATACATATATATATATATATATATATATATATATATATATATATATATATGTTCACCAATCTACTCAATCAAATAACACTTAATATATTTTAATTATATTTTGATCTAATGAAATTGGATTTATTCATCCGTATGAAATAAAAACAGATTTTGATATGGATGACAGAAATGGTAGTAGTCAAATTCATCAAAATTATGCTTGTCTGTTGTTTGAGTACATAAAGGATATTTATATATATATTTCTTCCTTTATATAAAAGAATATTTTTCATATATTTAAGTAATAAATACACATTTATGCACATATATCCTAAAGTCTTCAAAGTCTTCATTAATTCAATAGAAATAGATTTATAGAAGAACAAATAAAAATGTTGATGTAACATCTTAAATGAATGATTATTATTTTGTTATTATTTTTATTGAGAAATTCTACTTCTACTAAGGTGGTGATGATGTTACCAACAACAACAGCAACAAAAGTAACCTTAGAACTAAGAATATGATAGTGTAAAGAGAGGGTGATTTTATAGGAAGGGAGAAAAATTTAGACACTTATAAGAAGTAAAAGAATAGAAAAAAAAATATTTTCAATTACTTTTTGATTATAAAACTTATTCCATAACTGAAGATTGATGTTTGATCAGAATCAGATATTTATATGTATATGAATGTATATATATGTATATTCACAGTGTCATATTTAATTAAAATTACACAGTTACCTTTAACTCTTACTTAATTACTTGTCATTTTATGATAAAATATAAGGTATTATTTTACTGCTTCAATAAGAATATTCATTTGGAAGTAAAAACGAATCATTAAAAAAAAATATATTTAAGATTCTATTAGTTGAGATTATGAGTTAATTGAAGCTAAACGACTATGGAAAACCTGGAAGCAGTGAACGGCCGTTTCATCTTAGTATAGGACTCCTCATCCGCGGTGTGCATCCATGATCCCGTCCCGTGAAATTTGAAACCAGGATCTATCGGTCTCGCGCGTGAACTCTTAAACTCTAGACCACTGAGCCGGCATCCAAACGTGTTAATGTTTAATTTGAACTTAGAGTGTAAATATACATATATATATCGATGGTACTCAATGTGTAATGTGCATTCAATATATGTAATTCAGTATTTTAAGGTAAACCATCAATTTTTACTATATTAGATTATATTTTCTATCTTTTTCAGAGTTTTATAACATATTACTAAAGAAATAAAATATTTAAATTAATTAGACTACCATGAGTTCTCACTGTATGTAAGCTGATTAAATGTACTGGCAAATAAATAATCTTATTCCATTTAAAGTAAAATCTTACAGTGTAAATGGTATTTATAAGACAAATTACATTTTAAATAGATTGAAATCTAACACTAAACAAATTTTGTTCTTTCAGCTGGATGGTTTGCTCGTGGAGCTTTCATCGTTCTTCTGAACAACATCATCAGCACAAACTTCAGATAGAAGTGAAGTGTTCGAATTTCTCCATATGTGTTTCATAGCTTGTCCTGTACACCTCGAGGTGAAAGCTCCACGACCAAACCATCCATTTCAGAGAAGAAAACTCCATCAAAATCATCCACCTGAGCTACAAATCTTCTCCACCATCTCAACACGTCTTTTTTCATAATCATAATTATCAAACTATTTTTATATAAAATAAACCAGTATATTAGAATTTTACTTTGAATTATTTGGAACATTTATTATTATTTTTGTAATAAGGAGAGATAACATATCAGATTTTGAAGTGTATCAACTGTCAATTCTTGGTGTTGTATTTGGGCTTTTGAAGATCAATATTCAGTTAGTTATTTGTTTTAGAAACCCAAAAGTTTGACAAAAATGCTGTCACATTCATGTACTGTTAATTATTTCTAATGATTTTGGATTACCATAATTTTATATTGCAAATCAGAAATCTGACACTTTTCATGTTCCTCAAAGAAAGTTAAAGGCTTGATTTTGATTTGGAGAAGGTTTGCTAATGGGAATTGTTAATAAATCTTTAACCAGGAAAATAATTTACAGCTGTACAAGTAAAGCCAGTTCATTACTTAAAAATGTAGTTCTGACATATACCTGTGATCTTTTTGTTAGTAATTAGTCCTACTAAAGTATAAATTCCCGTTTTTTTATTACTGTGGTGAATTATAGGAAATTATTACATTTCATAGATTGGATGCAGTCTCAGTGGTCTAAATATGAAGAGCCCACCCAAAGAACTTAAGGTCTTGAGTTCGGTCTCCGGTGGGGTCATGAATGTGCAATAGTGAGAAGTTACACTCTAAGACCAAATAGATGTCCAGTGCTTACCGGCTTTCAAAATTACGAAAATCCTTTCTTTAAGCCTCCTGGTCAGTATTCATTATGACTTTTATTATTGTTTATTTTAAATCATTCATACGAATTCCCTTAATTTTATAATTTGATTGTCAAAATCACATGTAGTTTCAAGAAATTCAGTGAAAATAATTTCTTTCTTCTTTTCAAAGAATCCCTTTTTAAGTTGTTTTGTTACATGTATAAATAAATAATAATGACATTCATGATAATAATAATTATAATGATAACTCATAAAAACTAGATCTTATGAGAAAAATACAAAATGATGTAATCATATGAAGGCCAATATTGAACTGCGTTCATTATATTTGAATGAAAAATACACTTGTTATGTAAAATTATAAACTTTCATAGATTAAGTCGATTATCAGTATAAGGTTTTGGAGATTATTGTTTTTGATCGAAATCATGAACCAATAGATGTTACACCATCATTGAAAACCTGGAAGCACTGGACGGCCTTTCCGTTCTATTGTGGGACTCCTCAGCACTGCGCATCCATGATCCCGCCCTCGGGATTCGAACCCGGGGCCTTCGGTCTCGTGCATGAGCGCTTAACCGCCAGACCACTGAGCCGGGATCCAATGGTGTTAATGTTTAACCTCAACCAATCCACGAAATTGCGCGACCATCTTTCGTCGTACTGAGGTAGATACCTGTCTCTACCTGACACGGATTAGCTCCAATGGTCATGACTTCTTACTAGAACTCTGAGAATTCCCTCACGATGCTAGCCACTAGTGAGCACATGGTAATTATCAGTATGGGATTGTGAAGATTATTATATTAACTAGATAAGCTACAAAGTCGGTCAGTAAATGATAGAAATACTCAATTTCGACAATTTTCAAAACGATATTTTTTAATTTTACAGTCTATATATAAAACACAGTACCTACTGATACACTCTGGGTTATAATATTATTTCAACAATGAATGGATATCGCAATTTCTGATTTATAGAGATTGTCTCACGGAAATTGACTTTAATTAAAATGAATAATCATGAAAGATATTCAGAAATTAGCTATGATGTACTCATATATATAATATTTTAATGGAGTATATAATTCTATTAACTCGATAATAAACGTCATAGCGTATCCTCGATTGTTAGTTTCCTAAGAGGTTATAGGTATACATGGAGGTTTTGTTTCTAAGATAGAATAATATTAACTCACTAGTTAATATCATTTTATGAAATAAATGTCTACAAATATCTTAGTTGAATATATATTTGATGGGTTTTGTCGATATTATAGTAATTTCAATGGTTAAGATCATGAGCCAGTTGAAGCTAGACCACCATGGAAAACCTGGAAGCACTAGACGGCCGTTTCGCCCTATTGTGGGACTCCTCAGCAGTGCGCATCCACGACCTCGCCCCCTGAGAGATTCGAACCCAGGACCTACTGGCTTCGCGCGCGAGCACTTAACCATTAGACCACTGAGCCGGCATCCAACGGTGTTAATGTCTAACTTCAACCAATCCACGAAGTTGCGCCACCGTACACCATTGTCTTTAGTGAGTTCCTATCTCACAACAGACCTGGTTGAACTCCACTGGTAGCGACCATTGAATATATATTTGCTTTGTTATTTGAAATTGATTAATTTTCATATATTCTATACAAACATACGTATATATATAAACCAATTTTCATAATGCTTTTAAATCATCTATCAGTATAATAGAACTATAGTTGTTTTCTATTTTCCTATTGGTTAACTTAATCAAAAATATTTTAATATTGAAATTTTGTCACCTCATCTTAGTGTATATATCTAATCTCATAGTTTACTTCTCTTCATCATTTATGATAAATTAACTTCTATATTTATCTTTTCTACTCGGTCTGATTTTTCATTGAGTTGACTAGATTTTTAAAGTAAAGATAGAGGGAGATAAATTTTCATTTTCTATTTTTCTCTTAACAACATTAGAAAAATATTCTTAGTCTTTTCATAATATTTTAAACAAAAACAAATAAGAGGAGAAGAAGGAAAATGAATAGATAGGGAAGAAAATATTGCAAAGGGATGCAAATATCCCATAGGTTTTATGCAATCTTTTTGTCTGGGATAAATGAATAGCAGTGATCATATTCAGTAATGTAGAAATTATATATATATATATATATATATAGCATCATTAGTCAATTACCTTTTATGAAAAACATTCAGATTTCAATGTCTAGTAATCCTGATGAATTTTCCAAGAAAACAAACTATACTAATCATTTATTTATGAATAATTTGAAAGCTATTTGGCCTGCTCCATTAATTGTACCACCTCCATGGGTACTTTTACGTATAGTTCAAGAAAAGTCTGATAATTTAAGTAGATTATTTAATAATGATAAATTGCATGAAAAACTCAGTGGAGAAAATCGTGCATTATCCTTGATTAAGTAAGTTTAAGTGAATAATTATTTATATGTTGTATTTTATTGAAAGTCTGCAGCGGTTTCTTTGAAAATTTGTTATATATATCATTTAATAGTAGTCCAGGTACTTTAAATGTTTAAAATTTTCTCGAGTTGTTTATTACTTCTGATATTCAACTATATTCAGAATTAATCTATTTTGATATCATTAATCGCAATTCAATCTTAAACTAGATCAACATTTTAGATTCTACGGTAGTTCCATGAGGTTATGTAGTATATTCAGTGATTTTTCTTAAACAAATAGCACTGAACACTAATAATTACTGAGTGATTAGAATTAAAATGGTTTAGTTTTGTTTTAACTTGCAATCGCCCCTAGATGCCCTGGTACGGTTGAGGGTGAGGAGAGTCAGCTCTCTCTCCAAATGCTCTCAAATGAACACGTACATACAACCACTGACAAGGAAGTTCTACTCACTAAATTCTCGCAGCATTACTGATGTTTTCGAAATTGAGAAGACGAAAACTGATTGTCCGGTGCTTTAACTGAATTCGCGCACATGGACAGTTCACCTAGGGGAGTTGGAAAACACTGATTCCAAAGCATTGGTGCACATGGGCTCAAGGATGCTGAAGGACCAAACAGAGTATGAACCAATCGTTGGTCACCGCTTATCGTGTTACTGCATCTCGTGACGTCGCTCCACTGTTTTGTGTATTGGACCTTTAGGTCGAAGGCTCCGGATGTGGCTCCCTCAGAAAACCACCTGAAATATCCCAGCTCTCATACAAATTGAATGATTTATGTGGTGCATATCTATTTGGTGCCTATTTGTACCAATGTTTATGTGTTTAAATAAAATAACTTACAATTAAATAATATCAACCATTTATTTAACAATGAATTATGATTCATCTGAAGTTATAATGAAGAAAATAAGTGATTCTAATTATCAACTATTCTTAAATGTACCTGGCTAGTATATTAAATGAGAATCGAATTAATAAGTTTTACGGGAAACGTTAAACAGAATAATGTTAGGTGATTGAAGGAGATCAACAGTAAAGTCTTGTACCAGTTGGGATTCGTTGACAAGTGTATATTTACTTTCGTTAAACTGTTGTTCTTTGTGCTGTTTGAATCTGATTAATCCAATGTCACAATAAGAAGTGTTGTGATTGAGCTTTTCGAGCTGTGATTGATTGGGTGAACTGATTACAATTATTGGTCACTTGATAGTAGTGACCACTGTTACACTTTCTGTCTCTTAACAATGATAGAACATAATATTATAATGAGTTTTATAATGTAAATAAAATAATAATACTCTCAAGTTTTATTGTTAAATTCCACAATTGACATTTATGTGTATATATAAAGTGTTTTTATTGAATTTTATGTGTTGGATTATGGAGAAGTATTTCTGATTACAGTTGTTTGTCAATTGTAGGGTCCGTCAGCAGCTTATTTTTGTCTCTATAATTTTATCTTGTATGTTTACCTCGTCCTAGAGAACTCAGTCGTTACATATTTACTCAGAAAACGAAACAGGAGTAAGTTTAAACTTAAAAAAACAGAGTAATCAGAGTTAATCTCAAATTATTTATTGATTTTTTCTAATGAAATTTTATCAGTGGAATTAGTTATGTGAGATGATAATGATAGGTCAAAATGATCATCATTTTATGAATAACTAAAAGCTCATCATTTCAGTTATTCAGAACAAATAAAATTCTATAGGATTTAGATTAGTCGCATAAATAACTTTAAAGTTAGCATGTGAATTTATTGATTGAAGAAAGATAACTAACTGTTCAACTGTTGAAGCCTTGATAGCGTTCCTTTCACTAATGCGAAGGTGATTTGGTATAGACTTTGAAAGCTGGTTGTGACATCAATCAATGTCTCTTACAACGGACTTATATAAACTAGTATATATATACTTAACTATAATAAAGTTTTCAATTATGTTTGAAATCAAATAAACTGGTTTGTTTTTAGTTTTTACGAATACGAAGTGATATTCAGTTTTCAATGTAAAGTTATGCAACAACTTATCGAGATAGGGTTGTGGAGATTGTTGAGTTTCATTGAGATCATGAACCGACCAATGTTAGTCCACCATTGAGAGCCTGGAAGCAGTGGATGGCCGTTTCGTCCTAGAATGAGACCCCTTGGCAGTTCGCATCCACGATCTTGCGCCCGGGATTCGAACCCGTGACCTTCGGTCTCGTACGCGAATGTTTAACCTCTAGACAACTGGGCCAAGATCCAACGGTTTCAGAGTCTTGTTGCAACCAAACGATGATATTTCACGACTGTTGGATGCCGGCTCGGTGGTCTAGAGGTTAAGCATTCGCGTGCGAATCTGGAGGTTCTCGGTTCAAGTTCATTTGGTGAGGGGTCATGGATACTCACTTCTGAGGAGTCCCATACTAGAATGAAATGGCCGTCCACTTCTTCCAGGTACTCAGTGGTAGTTTAACATTGATCGACTCATGATCTCAATCACAACTACTTATATTCATATGTTATTAGTGATATGTAATTGAATATTTTTGATTTTTTTGTTACAACTTTTCATAGTGAGGTGAAAATTAGTGACAATCAAATCACTGGACTCGATAAAACTTCGCCAACTGTTTCAAATAATATTTCATCACTTTCTACAAATGTTCACAATTCTGTTAGTAGCACTCTTCAACTTATAAAAGGCAATCGAAAGATATCTAAAGAAGTAATTAACAAAATCGATAATATTGAACGTGGACGTGAACGCAGTTACAGTTGCCCACAGTGTGCGAAATGTTTCACTTCGAATTCCGGATTAAAACAACACATGCATATACATGCGTCATTCAAACCATTCACTTGTCAGGTTTGTGAGATTGTAATAAACAGGTTAACTTTTTCATTTCAGTTGTTGCTTTTAATTTTCATATTAATTAAGTGGGTCAACAAACTACACGTATATTATGATTTTGAGGAGACTTTAGAACATATTTAATTTCAACTACCTGTTTGTACTTTTATAATGTGCGCGGCTAGACAATATATATTAACATATATAACAGGAAAGAAAAAGTTGAATGTTTTTCGTTTAATTAATATCTAGTTAAAACCGTTGAAAATAAGTGTGAACTTAAAGTTTTATTATCAGCAGCTGTGTTGCATAGACTGATCAGTTTATACAGTACCATACTAGATGCATTGAACAACTTCTCGTCAGTGCAACTTAACGAACAAATAACAAGATCAAATCCACAAATTTCAGGTTTAACATGGTAATATTAGACCACTGAGATAAGATCTGAAGTATCATATTTCTACACTGGGTGAGTAGTTGCAACTTAGGATGATAAACATATAGAGGGTTCCATGATTTTCAATAGTTTTTTGATCAGTTTTATCTCTAGACAACTGTGCAAGGATCCAATGGTGTTATTGTCTAACCTCAACCAGTCCACGACATTGTGCCATTATGTTCCATTGTCTTCTGTGGGTAACTGTCTCACATCTGACACGGTTAAACTCCGCTGGTCACGGGTTCTTACTAAACTCAGTGAATTGCCTCAGGAAGTTAGACTCTAGGAGCATAAGATAATGCAGTTGGATCCCAGCTCAGTTGTCCAGAGGTTAAGCATTCATCCTGGACCGAAGGTCACGGTTGTGAGTCTTGTGATCGGGATCTTGGACTCACACTGCTGAGGAGTCCCATCCTAGGACGAAACGGCCACCCACTGCTTCCAGGCTCTCAATGGTGGACTAACAGTGATCGGTTCACGATCTCAATGAAACTCAACAACCTCCACAACGCTATACTAATAAAATTTTTAAAAGAATCACGATAAAATGTTGATTATTAAAACAGACTACTCAGTCAACCAATATTAAGTACTGTAAATGTGAATGTCTGATAACAGAATGTCAAATTATGCCCATCATAGTTCTTAAGAGCATAATTCTCAAAATTAATCTCATAATATGATGGGAGGTCAATAAAATATACATGCAGATGTCTACTAGAATTAAAATATTTAATATTATAGCTAAAAAAGAAACTAGTTTATAATATTGTAATCTTTATCTTCATTTAAGTTTGATAAATATGAGTTTTTTTTTGTGAGGGCTAACTTAGTTAATAGATTTAAGCAAAATAAGTCATGTTAAATGATGATACGAATGAATGAAATCGGTGATTATTTTTGTTGCTACATACTGTAGTGACTGACTATTACTTTATCATCAGTACAGATTGATAATTCAAATCTTATCGTGACTAAATACAGTTTTGTAATTTACTGTTTGCATATATATTGAATAGCAAAGTTACTTATAAAAATATAAATTAGTCCCATACATAATTCAGTCATAATTTATTTGGTTGAGCCCATTTTAGTGAAGTTCACATCAATGACATTATTCAAGTTAACTATTAATTTTATACAAACTTTTTATGTACATATGGTATCCTTTAAACTATACTTCTAGTTGACATCAAATAATATAAAGATATTGAGGTTGAAAAAAGACTATTTAAGGCAACTAATAAAGACTAGTATTGATAGATTTATACGGCTCCTAAATGTTCTGATACGGCCGAGATTGAGGAGAGTCAGCCCTCTCTCTCTCCCAAATGCACTCACATGAACACGTACATACAACCACTGACAAGGAAGTTCTACTCACTAAATTCTCGCAGCATTACTGATGTTTTCGAAATTGAGAAGACGAAAACTGATTGTCCGGTGCTTTAACTGAATTCGCGCACATGGACAGTTCACCTAGGGGAGTTGGAAAACACTGATTCCAAAGCATTGGTGCACATGGGCTCAAGGATGCTGAAGGACCAAACAGAGTATGAACCAATCGTTGGTCACCGCTTATCGTGTTACTGCATCTCGTGACGTTGCTCCACTGTTTTGTGTATTGGACCTTTAGGTCGAAGGCTCCGGATGTGGCTCTCAGAAAACCACCTGAAATATCCCAGCTCTCATACAAATTGAATGATTTATGTGGTGCATTTCTAATTGGTGTGTATTCAATAAATACCTCCTATAATTAAACTTCAGATCAACTATGTAAGTGTTTATTGTATTATTTCAAAGATATCAATCTATTGAGTCTTACTAATCTTCATGTCAAATGTAACGAGCAAAGGTATACATATTATACAGCTTACTTCAAGTTCAAGAAACTATTTACAGATAAGCTATCAACTATGTAAATACCGAATAATGTAGAAGCATTAACCATGTATGTACTCCAATATAATTATGCACTGAATAGCCTCATGTAAAAATGGATTACATAAATATTTCTGAAGTGAAGCATAAACAAGAAAAAAAGAGATTGTTATTGAAACCTCTCATATAGTAACATTTTACAATCTAACTAACCACTAAACTTGAAAATATTATTGTATAGTTCAGTAATAATCCGACAATTTTTGTTTTTACTAAAAACTCTTAACTTTAAGAAGAAATATCCTTCTAATATTCTTAATTTTCTACAGATTGTTTAGAATAAACTAATTATAGGCGATGTGTAACATTTATTAAAATTTCTCAATGAATCAACATTCTACACTTTTATATATTTCTTCATAAATAGGTATGTCATAAAGCTTATACACAATTCAGTAATCTATGTAGACATAAACGTTTACATAAACGTTGTCGACAAAAACCAGATTGTTTATCATGTGGAAATGAATTTGCCAATACTTATTCATTATTAAAACATCAAGTTTTAACATCATGTGGTAATAATTCATTATATAACAATCATACAAATAAAACTACTGATAACAATGATAGTAGTAATATGAATTATGCTAATAAAAATGTCAATTTAAGTAATGATAACAATTTGTGTAATGATAGAAAATCAATTTATCATACAAAATCTTGTATTGAATTAAAACAAAATGATGAAACTGATAACAAATATAAAAATAGTAAATTAAACTCCATTGAATCATTTAATCCTTATAATAATTCAATGAAAACTAATATAAATAAAGAAACTTCACATATTCATAAACATGATACATTTTATAAAGACTGTAATGAATTAAAACAAATTAAAAAATATACAAAGAATTATAATCATTTAATAGAAACATTCACATCGAAACTTATTCATAACTCTTATGATGTTGAATCGATGCATTTAAATGAAATACATCTGAAGAGTGATGACATGAAGTATGAATATGAAAGAAATAACTATATGTAAGTTGTCTTAAATGATTTTTCATGTTGTCCTCTACTAAATATTACTTGGATGCCGGCTCGGTGATCTAGTGTTTAAACGCTTGCGCATGAGACCGATAGGTCCTGGGTTCGAATTCCGCGAGGTGGGGTCGCGAGTGTTCACTGCTGAAGAATCCAACAATAGGACGAAACGGCAGTCCAGCGCTTCCAGGTTTTCCATGGTGGTCTAGTTACAATTGACTCATGGTCTTAACTATTGAAATTATTACTTGATTGATGAAAGTTTTTAATTAAAAATCCTAATTTTAAGTTACTGATTTATGTAGTGTAAATTGAGGGTACTTTTCAATATGACTTGATAAGCAGTGGGTGTAGTATTATCTTACCGGTGATATCGGATGAGAAACGAATCATGTTGTCAAGTGACTAAAATTTAAAATGCAAATAATCGGAGTTTTATTCCCGAAATCAGTAAAGTACTTCCTGTTACTTTATGACTAAATAGATAAGCCAGTTTAGTTTGATGTAAGAATTTATGTCTCATGGGTATTCAGAAACATACAAGTTTTCTATGTTTAATCAGTATATCTGAACATTGTCAAATAATACAAATATTATTTATAATGAGCAGAGATGGACGGTGGCTAGCAGTGGAATCTGAGACGAAATGCGTGAATTTATCAAAAGATCTCGGCTCATTAGTTGGTAGGTATTGGACATCTAACTTCCAATAGTTTCTCAACTAATGTTGGTATTCGATAAATACTGATCAAAGTACTACTCAATGAGTGTTAGAAATATGTGTACTGTGTTTTTCAATATGGGAGTAGAAAAGCTTTTGGTTTGTAATAAATGTTTAAGACTATCCAGACCTACAGTTAGTGGTGAAAAATATTAATCCCATTAAATGTAATCTACTTAAAGTGTTTATAATTTTAACAAATTAGCAATCGCTAAATAAAAAATCGTGGGCAGAAATTAGATTTGACTTAAACTGTGAGTGTCTTTTCTATTGTATTTAGCAATGGTTAGTATTTCTTTGATTTTTTGACTCGTTAGCCAATATAGCTACTACACTACTGCTAATGTCATCAGTGAGAATGAAATTTATTTATCGTGCAAGTAAACATCAAATTATTATACACTTAACTACTGACTTGTTACATTTATTGCTTGTTACACAGAAATTACTGGTTAATAGATCTTATGCATTATATCTGTTAACTTATCCATGCGTCTAGTTAATCACCGTTCACTTCCAATATATTTCCTATTATGAGTCAAATTACACTTAGATATACCAATCAGATGTTACTATAAAATAACCTGAGGAATCTTTAAGTTCTTCAGTAGATACTTCTCAAACTTATTTTTTAATTGAATGTAAATTTACATGAGTCTGGCTTTGATACACTAAGTAACATTGTGTCGTATGACCTTAATTTCTGCTATATCTGAAGCTACCGTCTCTATATCGGTTAAGTTATATATAAGCGTGCACATTAATTAAACTAATTTCATAAGGGAATATAATTATTTTCTTTTGAATATAAATTATTCAGTTTTCTATTCTTATCAGACTACAAGTAAATAAAATAGGGTAATGTTCATTATCATTTATGATTCATGACGTTGATGTTATCTAATTTTAATTTTAGCCGATCATTAGGTTCTATAAATTGTAAGCTTATCAATAGGCTACATTCTAAGTCAGTTATTTAATACCTTAAATCTCAACCATTGAAATACAGGTTTGAACAATTAAGCGATATTTCTAGCTGTCAACCAACAAATATTTAAAATACGTTGTTCCAAAGATCTTATGATTAGCTACAAAGTTACTTTATATTATGCAAATAAATACTCTTCAATCAAGTTTGTTCCCGAATTTCATAAATTATGTTAATTTTTTCCCGCTTCAAATTAAACTTAAATAAATATACAAATACAAATAGAAAAGTGACTAACTTACTATTGTAAACTGTGATTTAGACATGAAACTAAACAGTTTAATTCAATGAACTGGAAGTATTAAATTGCATATCTTCCTCCTTTCTGCTTCATGTACAACTGATTAAATGAGTTCGCACTTATTCAATCATCCTATTTGTAATATAAGTTCAGATTCAGTATACTGGTTGATAAAATGTAAGTATAGTGATAGAATTCATTGACTGATGCTAATCTAACTCACTATAATTAAGTATATCTTTCTCATAAACCATCATTGTGCAACTTCATTCTGTATTAATATATTTTATACTAATCAATTTGTTATTCAAGTTATAGTTTAAAACAACACATACACCTTATTCTTTACATTAAACTAAGTTTGGTAAAAATATAAATGTCATGGTTAAGAAAACTGTAGCATTTCAAGTATTATTAATTTATTTTAACACATAGATATTGGTAAAAGGAGGCACCAAATACACATGCTCCACATAAATCATTCGATTTATGTGAGGGCTGTGATACTGCCCGGGTGCTCAAACCGAAGCAGGTGGTTTTCTTAGGGAGCCACACCCCGAGCCTTCGACCTAAGGTCTGATCCACAAGGCAGTGGAGCATCGTAAGGAGATGCGGTCCCATGGTAGCCGGTGTCCAACAATTGGTTCATACGCCATTTGTCTCTTCAGGATACTGGAGCCCATGTGCACCATTGGTTTGGAATCAGAGTTCTCCAACTCCCCTAGGTGGACTCACCGTGTCCACCGGCCCGGTCAAAGTGCCCGACATTCGCTTTTCGTCCTCTCATCTTTGTAAACAACACCCCCGCCACGAGAAGGCAGTGAGTAGGACTTCCCTGTATACGCGTGGCCATTTGAGAGTATTTCAAGAGGGAGATCTGATTCTCTCCACTCTCGACCGTACCAGGGCATTTGCAGGCATTTCAAGTATTACATAATGAACAATCAACTTTGAAATAAAAACAATTGAATATCCTTTAATATATTACTTAAAGTAAATTTTTGAGTAACTCCTTTTTATTCGTTAAAATTCTAACATTTTATTACCTATTTAGAACAAATTATGGAAAAGATATCAAAACGGAGTCAATTTTATTAACTCGTCATGATCATAAATTAGATAACGTTGAATTTAAGAAAATAAATAATACCTCAGATCCAATGGATTTATCTTATACAAGCATCATCAAAAAATAAACACACAAAATTATTCTCATAGTCCTATCTCTAATAAAGGAAAATTTGAAGAAAATTATGATTTTAATAATGATTCTGTCAAATCATTTATTAGCACAGATAAACAATTAATCAAATCAGATACAAAGAGTAATACATTGACATTTATGAAAAATAATTTATATGATAATGAATTTCAATACCTTTATGGAATTGTAAATCTTGCAATGTGTACAGCTCAACAGTCTTTGATGAAATCTATGAATCATCAAAAACAACAAATTGAAGGATCTATTGAACATTTTAATCTTAAACAACATTCAAATGATGAACATTGTGTGAAAAATTTATCGTCTATGATTTCAACGAATGATCTAGGAAGATATTCATTTCTTTCATCTCATAATTACTTATATGAAAATTATTACACATGTAATGTTTGTCATAAAAAATTTCCACGTGCAGCTAATTTAAATCGACATATACGTACACATACAGGAGAACAACCATATCAATGTCCACATTGTGATCGACTTTTTAGTATTTCATCGAATATGCAAAGACATGTAAGAAATATACATAGTAGAAATAATTTATTCATTAAAGACAGTAAGTAACAGTTCTATGTGACTGTACAAAACAAACTATTTTAATTTCAATTTTAAGAAATCAGATTACTGTAATTAATGAGTAGGCTTTCAGTAACCACTATTGGATTTTATTTGTTAGCATCATTATGAACAGTATATTTTCCTCAAAATATCTTGTACAATTGCACATTATAAACAAATTTGATTATACATACTTAATATTGAATAAAGCATGAAATATTTCGTTAGTAACAATGAATGAATACTACAAGACCTACTGAATAATATCCAGTTTTATTCATAAATATGAAAATAAATGAACAAAAGTATATTATATATTTACTTTTTAATCGTTCATTAGTTTTGTTTGAACTATCCATTTATACCAGTTGACATTCATTAGTAAAGGATAACCTGCTACCTCTTTACCAAGTTCTAATCCAGGTTACTTAGTTTCATATCATGTAACGTTGTCATTGAGCTATTGAAGCTGTAACCATTCTCTAATCAGTAAGAATCAGACAATCTTAAAACTACACACTACCCATGAATTAATCAATGTGAATGTTTATAATGTTTTGAATTATTTGAATTATAGTATGAACTAAGAGTCCCAGAAATAACGCGACTGAATTAGAAAGTAAGGCACAAGCACAAACGGATGTATTGCATTTAGAATTCGAAATCGACCATTGAACAATTACAAAGGTATCATTAGTTCATTCAAACACCACATCCGCCACAGCTTAAATTGGAATAGAACTGTTTGTAATCGGTTTTACGTCTTCTTAAGTTCATCCTGAGTCTGTCCGACATTGTATTGGATAAAAACTTTGTAGTATCTAGAATGTGCTCATTAGTATTGGAATTAACAAACGAAATCGGAACAGACTCACCTGGAATTGTATACAATTAGCATGTCGGTTTTGTACTGAAATCATTAATATCTAGAATCTGAACATTATCCTCCCCACGAAATAATGTTGGATCTTTATATCCCCAAGTTATGAATAATGTGGATTCGTTTAAAACATATTCTTCAGATTGATTAGAGTATACATTGGAAGTTCTGAATTGTAATCAGAATGGAGCTCATTTAATACTAGTGCTTCGCATTGAACAAGTTTCCCACAAGAAATAAATGGATTATGGGGACAAATAATACTTGGTATCACATCAAAACTTGACTCTTCTGAAATAGTTTCCTCGAATTCATTAAGAATGTCATTGCAGAGTAAAGGATCATTAGAAAAATTAGCATCTATCAAAACTACATCAGGTTTTTGATCATGACTAGATTCACTCAACATATTTTCCTCAGATTTGTAAGAAATTTCATCAGAAATATATGAATCATTAGGAAAAACCATATATGGTACAGTAACATGAGAAATCTGATAAGTTGATTGACTAGAAACTGTTGTCTCGCAAAGATTATGAGTTTCACTTAACTCTGAACTGGTATGTGACTCTACACTGTCTTTTGAAATCGTTGATAAGGATAAATGATCATTAGGAACACTGAACTTAATAAAATCAGAATTATAAGAATTACAGCACAAACGAATGTATTGTATTTAGAATTCGAAATCGACCATTCAACAATTACAAAGCTTTCATTAGTTCATTCAAACACCACAATATTTCATTCTTCCAGGTCATTTGAGGGTTGAATAACTCAGTGGTAACGTTTTAGACTGTGAAGATGAATGATATGAGTTCGAATCCCGTAAGGATAATCACTTCTCTGAAGATTGAAAATGTTCTCTACTAACAAGTTCCGAATAGTCTTATACCTAGGTCCAGAGTTCCCTGTAGACTACCTTCAACCATCACATATCAAAGAATCAATGTATCCAATATCGAATAGCTTAGACTAGTGGTTACATCGTAACACAATCGAGAAAATTTGATTAGTATTCACCAGCGAACAAATATAAAATTGGTCACAATATAAGCATTAATGATTACTGAACACGAAGTCATGTATTATTTTAATAAAATAATGCTAAACTATTTATTAAAAAAATATCAGGTTATTCATATTTTGATAAAATGGCGCATTTCTGATTACAATCATGTTACTTGTAATAGTACTTTCATTGGTTTGAAGTTCAATTAATTGTGTAATTCTCTTATTTTCAATTTAAGAATAGAGAAAGGAAATCGCTCATATAAACTAAATACCTATCAAGTAAAATCATAAGACTGGAAAAGTGTAATTTACACAGAATTCTAAGGAATTTAACAAAATACTATTACTCATTAATCATTAATAGAAATAAATATGAGATAAAAGTCTCTATTCTATTAATAAAATCTATCCAAATAGAAAAATGAGAGTGAAAATTTGAGAAAAATCTCTTATATATATTCTAGTGAAATAATGATTGTCTAACTTAGATCGGTTCATGATCTTAATCAGAAAAGAAATATAGTTGGAAATTAAAAAAAGGATTCACAACACAAAATATTATTATTGACTTTACACTTAGTGAAGGACTAAATAAATAAATAAGAATTAACCATTATAAACGTATTTTAGGCTTTTACGTAACCGTCTAGATTAAAGAATCAAGATGTGTTCTGTTAACTTTGAGAAGGTAACTAAACGTAGGGAACATGCTAAAAAAAAGTAGGTGATAAATTATTGATTGTAGAATAGGTACGTTCTTATTGTTTTTGTTTCTTCTCAGATGGATCAATAATTATGAAACATTAATTGTAGTTTTCAACTTCAACTAAAGTTTGTCAAACATACACCTGTTCTAATGACTTGGTTCATGAAACTTGGTTAACTGATAGGCCCTGGGTTAGAATGTCGCGGGGGGGGGGCGGGATCGTGGATGCGCACTCTTGAGGAGTCCCATACTAGGATCAAACGGCCATCCAGTGCTTCCAGGTTTTCCATGGTAGACTAGCTTCAATTGATTCATGATTTCAACGATTGAAATTTCTAAAAATCTCCACAAAAACCCTTCTGATACTAATCAACATATGCTCACTAGTGACTGGCTTCAAGAGGTATATCCTGGAGTTCTAGTGAGAAGCAGTGACCAGTGGGGCTCAACCGGGTCAGTTGTGAGATAACAACTCACTGATGTTTGTTTAGATTATTAATGAGAATTTTTTTACTTCAATATTTGACTTTATCCCAAACTAACTTCGTTCTTAAGAATTTCCATTTACATGCATATAGAGAAAACCACTAGAATCCCTTAAACTTTCTTTTAATTTTCAAATGTTTTCTATTTTCTTCAGTTCGAATTTTCATCATTTCAAGACAGATTAATCATAAATGACAGAATACAGAATATAAATTAGAAAATCTCAAACAAGAGTAACTTACAGTAACGGTAGAAAAAAAGTAAGCATATTAAATCTTGTTTACGAAAACACACGTTTCCCTGATTACTGATAACTCATTACACTTTCTTATCTTAAACTAACAGGCAAAAAATACAGGTTGTAAGGAAGATACTTTCATTCGTTATAAATGAAGTATTAGTGTATGAAAATATGGTTATTCTACAAAATAAATACTTAATAATGTCAACTTTATAGGATGTTTAACAAAGTATTACATAATTAAAGAATAAAATTCACATTTCTTTTAACATTTTACACTTTAATTAGTGGACGTATATAAATGGCATCCATTTTATTGAACAATATTGTCATTTACTTATTCTTTCTGCCTGTCGTGCATTTTAACTTTTATTCAAGTCTTTTTCAACCGCACTTTATGTTCTTCGGTCTCCCTCGTCTGAGCTTTTATTATGTGGCTTCGGTTAAAGATTCATCTTTCACTATTAAATTTTACTGTTGCATGTCGCCGGGCTATTGACAATAAAGTTGTGCTTGACTCGACTCAGGGTCACGGTGTGGTTCAGTGCATGACTGTTAACATTTGACTGTTTGTTTGGAAAGATTTTTCGTATCCTTGCAGATATATATCTGATCCCATCCTGTTGGGAATGTTTTTTCTTGATCCTCAAGTATCGGACCCTTGTTTATCAACCGTTTCTTTTCTTGTTTAGCACGTTAGTTTGCGTTAGGGAAACCCTTGACTGTGTAGCACAGGCTGCACCGTCTGAGGTATTTTGTACTTTTGATATAATATTTGTCAATCGTATACGAAAGTTTCAAACATTCACTATGTTCACAAAGTATAGCTTTAACCGCGAAAAATAATGAGTGTTTCGAATCATCAATTACCTTTGAATCTCTTTCTAAAGCATTTCTTCTAACCAACCAATACCAACACTGACCTAAATATTATATACCATTAGACAATAGAAGAGAATAGTTACCATACTTTACTAAAGCATTTTAAAAAGTTCGTACTTCTACTTTTCCCTAAACATTAAGGTGACTCAAAATGATGGACAAATTTCTTGTTTTGACAGTTTCATTACTGTAAAATTACATTCAAATAATCAAACTAACTAGCAATATTTCTGATCATGAAGACATTTTTAGTGACACAGAACATGACTTGTTTATCAAACACCTTTTATTTATTATTTTAAATGTCACGTTTTGTGTTTTAAAGATAAAGACAAAGATGGATATGATGAAGTTGGTAATGATGTTGTTCTTCATATGTCTTTCTTGTAAAGCTAACCGCATTTTTAAAACATTTGACTTAAGTTCGCTAAACTAAATAGCTAATTAGTGGCGAATTCCTGCTTTGAGATAACAATGAAGAAGACAGTTTTGTATTAAGAGGGTTCTAGGTTAAAATTATTGAACTCAAGTTATTGGAACCAATTGTCAAAAAGTGAAAAGCTGCTGAAAAAATAAAACAAAGTGATTTCACTAATTGTTTTAAGAGGAATGTGAAGGGAAAAGGGCTGGGTAATAATGAATGAAGTCAGATATCGAGATAAATATAGGAAGTATTCGTCGGAAGTGGTATGTTCTTTGATCAATACTGTTTGGTCCTAATATTTTCATTGTCTTTCATGATGACATCACGTGGGATTTGTACTAATTGATGATTCTTACGTGCATTACTCCGTTACCGATTTAAATTCTAAATAAATCAGCTTCGGCTGTGATTGCAGAGTTCTTTTGTGGAGGCCTGATATTTAATCGTCATTTAGATCGAACAATGTTGTCGAAAGAGCTCTCCACTTTAGTGGGCCGTTGATCTGACTCCAATTGGATCGTGTGAATGTTTGTTATCACCTATCCTCGTATACAATCATCGACTTAAATCAGGTTAGTCAATAACAGAATTTAGAAAAGTCAATTAACGAGAATGGCCTTTGAATACATATATTTT